CCTGCCATAGCTGAAACACGCGTCTTTGATTCACAGTTTTGTTTATTTATAACAAAAAGAAAAGAAAAAGGAAAAAAAAAAAAAAAAAAAAAAAAAAAAAAAAAAAAAAATATATATATATATATATATATATACTATAGTTATATATATACACAACACAACACACACACACACACACACACACACACACATACACACACATAAACACACACGTAGAAAAAGGAGTTTCTGAGAGCACTAGAAAAGAGGTTATTGGAGAGGGGGAGAGGGGAGAGAAAGGGAGAAGGAATGCGAAAGGAGAGAGAGAGAGGGGGGAGAGGGGGGGAGGGAGGGAGGAGAGAGAGAGAGAGAGAGAGAAACAGACAGACAGGGAGAGAGATAGAGACAGAGAGGGAGAGAGATTATTATTATTATTATTATCATTATTGTTATTATTATCATTATTGTTATATATTATTATTATTATTATTATTATCATTATTTTATTATCATCATTATTGTTATTATATTATTATTATTATTATTATTATTATTATTATAATTATTATCATCATTATAATAATATAGTTATTTTATTATTATCTTATTATCATCATTGTTATTATTATTATCATTATCATTATTATTATCATTATCATTTTCACCATCATAACCTTCCCTCTCCTCTCTCTCTCTCTCTCTCTCTCTCTCTGTCTGTTTCTGTCTCTGTCTCTCTCTCCCTCCCTCCCTCCCCACCCTCTCTCTCTCTCTCTCTCTCTCTCTCTCTCTCTCTCTCTCTCTCTCCCTTCGCATTCCTTCTCCCTTTCTCTCCCCTCTCCCCCTGTCCATTAACCTCTTTTCTAGTGCTCTCAGAAACTCCCTTTTTCTACTGTGTGTGTTTATGTGTGTGTATGTGTGTGTGTGTGAGGTGTGTGTATGTGTGTGGTGCGTGTGTGTGTGTGTGTGTGCATGTGTGTACGTGTGTATGTGTGTGCATGTGTGTACGTGTGTATGTGTGTGTGTACGTGTGTATGTGTGTGTGTGTGTATGTGTGTGTGTGTGTGTGTGCGTATGTAGGCAAGAGCGTCGGAGGAGCACATCAATCTGTGCCGTATACTGTAATGGTTAATGCCTTAAACAAATAAATATGCTAGAAGTCAAAGGCTATATAGCACCACCATATAACACAGGAAACCCCGCGCTCTGCTTCAACCCACGAGCTTTAAGAGAGCATCATGGTCAGCGGACATCCACCGTGCAGCGACCTGTTCGTTTTTATAACCCGCCGCCTTCAAGAAATCCTTCCGCTGGGCCGCCGACAGAGCCCGTGTCAGAAGGAGTGTAGACCCCGTGCTACAAATCATCCTAAAAAGATAACTTTCTCTACTCAGCAGTCACTTTACACAATATGTGAATGTTATGGCGCATCACCTGCCATTTATTGTCGGAGAAGAGTTTAATGGATACATCTCTTGTATTGTGAAGATATTCATTCTCATTCATACCTTTTTACATTTGTCAACATGAGTACGGTTCGTATGTTACATTTTTAGAAATTTACAGATTAGATGTGTGAACGAAATACATGGAGGACTGACATTGGAAATGATTTGAATTCTCTCTTTCTTTCTTTTTCTATCTCCCTTTCTCTCTCTTTCTCTCTCTCTCTCTCCTCTCCTCTCTCTCTCTCTCTCTCTCTCTCTCTCTCTCTCTCTCTCTCTCTCTCTCGGGAAAATATTTCTTTTCGCCCCCCCTCTCTGTCTGTCTGTCTGTCTCTCTCTCTCTTTCTCTTTCTCCCCCCCCTCTCTCTCTCTCTCTCTCTCTGCTCTCTCTCTCTCTCTCTCTCTCTCTCTCTCTCTCTCTCTCTCTCTCTCTCTCTCTCTCTCTCTCTCTCTCTCTCTCTCTCGATAGCATCATTATCATTATTATCACTACTATTTACATTACCATCATTATTATTATTACTATTGTTATTGTTATTATTATTATCATTATTTTTGTTACTATTATTATCATAATCGCTATTATTAATGCTGTTGTTATTGTTATTATTATTGTTATTGTTATTTCCTTTATCTTATTATCATCATCATCATCATTATTGTTATTATCATTATCATTATCATTATTCTTTTCATCATCATCATCCCTTTCATTACAATTTTTATTACTATTATTTTTGTTATTGTTATTATCATTATTATTTTTTTGGCATTATTATTATTATCTTATTATCATGATGATTGATGATGATGATGATATTATTACTATTATTTTATTATTATTATTATTATCATATTATTATTATTATTATCATTATTATTATTATTATATTATTATTACTATTAATACTTTGATATTGATGATGATGAATTATTATTATTATTGTTTTATTATTTATTATTATTAGTAGTAATTAGTTATTATTATATCATCATCATTATCATCATAATCCTTATTATCATTCTTATCAAGTCTATTATTTTTATTATTTTTGATTATTATCATCATCATTCATTATCATCGTTATTCATTTATTATTATTATTAATAATATATTGTTATTGATGATAATATTATCATCATTATTTTTATCATTGTTATTATTATCATTGTTATCATCATTTTAATTATCATTATCGTTATTATCATTATCAATATCATTATCATTGGCTTCCTTTTTTATTGTTATTGTTATTGTTATTATCAGCATTATTATTATTATCATTATCATCATTATTGTTATTATTATTATTATTATTATTATTATTATTATTTTTACCATTATTATTTTTTTTATTGTTATTATCATGAT